TCAGGCACCCAGAATGTCCCCTAGGAATGAAAGTCGGGAAAATGTTCAACTTGTTAACCAATCTGCATTGTCGGTAATATCGATAGAAAATATGTAACTATAAATAAGAATGCAATTTCTGACTCTAGAAGTAACAACCTAGTCAGTTCATAAATTTGTGATAAATTTTCGAAAAATACGGAACAAAATAAAATAACGAGATATACTTTTGCCACGTTGAAGCTTCAGACAATATTGAACCTTGATAATCAAACGGAAAAAATGGAGAGAAGAATTACTAGTAACGAAAACAATATTTCAAGATACAACTGTACAAAGCAAAAAATATCACGAGCAAGAACTTATGGTTTGACCCAATTCATTGAACGTATACTATCTCCTTACGGATATAAATTATTCAAAAAAACACCCAGGGAACTTCGAAACCTCTTTAAGTTTGCAGCGAAGAACACTTTAAAGAATTTCAACTTTCCATAACAGAAACTTCCAAAAGAAAACAATCGGATGTTGCTCTTGGACATTGATAGAACGAATTTGCAAATGGCAAACTACGACAAAAATATAACCACTGTGATCCCGTATAAATAAAAATATTTCTAACGTTTCTAGAATACGTAAACGAATAAGGGACGAGATACTGCTAGAAATTTATATAGACAGGTCTGAAAGCTCTAAGGGAAGTGGATTTACCATGGTAATCGAAGAAACAGAATTAGTCTACAAAGCACCGGCATTCCGCTTCGTATTCAGCAGTTAAAAAGACAGTTACTACAGTCTGTTTGATAAGAGCGTGGGCGCGATAAATCAGAAAAAAATAATTTTCTTCGTAAAAAATTGTATACAAATCGCAAGTATATTTAAAAATCTAATACGCTTTCGTTTAATAATGAGTCTAATATCCCCAATTAGCTTTCCACCAATTTTTTTGCATATGATGACAAAGATCTCCATATCTTACAAATTTTTCTACTTAATGATTCGAGTGTCAAACAGCATTCTCCTCGAAGTTTATATTTAATTTCAGAAAGACATTCGTTTAGCATATACAGCACTCATATTTGAAAACGGTTGTATTGACAAAATTGAAACTAATACAATCTCCCTCTCATTAAATATCAATTTAATATCATATTATCAAATAGACTGTATGTCGAATTGTGAGTCTGAACTAACCTATCACGAAATAGGGTATCAGGTCATTTACACGTTTCAGATTCTTATAAATCATAAACAATAACGTCAGAATATTTAACAGAATACAACTAACGCAACTAAACCAGAATTTCTACCTGGAATTAATCGCAATATTTATAAAATTATGAATTTCAACTTCATAAACGGTGGGTAACATCTATAAACATGGTTGTGACTTGGAAGATGCAATAATTATTTAGAAGTTACTCGGAATCGTGAAAGCACTCAACACCCAGCAGATTTAGTCAGTTATTAATCAGTCATCTGCATCCTGAAAGCACTCAAGCTGCCAGCAGTTAGTCAAGAATCAATTACCGATCAACAGTCCGTTGGAAGGCCTGGAAACCATTAGCCTTCCACCAATTGATCAATCAGTCTCGGAAGCACTTAGACTTCAAACAGGAACAATCAGATTTTATCAATCGGGACTTAATCGGATAAGCAGTTGTAGAAGCAGTTGGATCGACTCTCCATGCCAGGATTTCAGTCAAATAAGAATTGTAACCTCTGGTGTCAATTATAATTCGAATATCAATATCGTATCACTGTCAACAAACTTTTTCGAGAATTCATGAATGGTCGTGTAATTTAAGCAACATCATCGTTCAAACAACTATACACTAGATGTCAGATGTTCAAATTGACAGTAATTGACGCACTAGTGGTCACGATATCAACTATAATTGATCGATGATTTATTTGTTGAAACTAAAATAAAAAAATATAAAATGAATGTGGGATCTGTTAGAGGAGCTTTTATATGAACCGAGCGATGATAAAATTTAAATAAACGGTATAAAAACAAAATAATTCGATAAATTGTAGAATCTTCTGGCTATGCATTTATTAATAACTTTTTGATCTTTTCAGCGAGTAAAGTCCACGCGTAGAACAGGATTTTATGTGACGTCTCTAAATTTCAACGCCACTGTTGCCATTAGACGAAACCAACGAGAGTAATCGTATAAATGAATAAACAAAAATGCACGGAGACAGGAATCAAGCGACGTTAGTACTCTGATGGAGTTTCGGAAGCAAATTTGTCGAAACAGGTTATCAAATTTAGAACGTAACTGATTACCATGTGTGCACAGGCGTGCGTGCCTGCATGAAGCTGACCACGTTCCTGTCTCTGGGTCATTCTGACAGCGCCACTATTAGAGCCAGCCACCACTGGTTTGTCTATCACAGACCGCTGATTCTCTAGAGGCTGACGTTCCCCTAGAGAAATCGCAACCAATCCCGAAGTTCGACGGAACACTAATCATTTAGAACCTTAATTTTTCTTCTGTTAGCAATTCCAGGATATCAAGGCGAGATGACAGTCGCCGAGATCGAATTTCAAATTTAAATCCTACGCGTGTGACAGAAATTTGTTATCTCCGTCGACCATTTATCTCCATCCTCTCTCGATCGATTGGATTAGCCAATAATAGCGATACAAACACCCAATTATTTTTACGTTAATTATTCTTTATAATTTGGGGAATAGATATTTTTTAATTCATTAACAATCCTTAAGCTGAAATTATAATACTTGTCCCGTACCTCAAATGCGATCAATGAATCCGAAGTTCCATACTAAATGAATTATTTTGCAAGTATTACTCGATTTTAATGAAATTATATTTCAACACACAATGGATGAATATTCCTGAGTACGTATTGAGCGAATCCCATTCCCAATTAATTACTTTTGTAAGCTCCGTACTCCGAATAAAACGTCAAATTTTGTATATTGATAATACGAATGCCTGAAGGCTTGCAATTCCCGTCGCATTATTCTATTCGACATTCGTAAGAATTTCAGGAGGTCCTTTCCGTTCAACAGTGCAGAAAGTCCTACTTCCATTGTGGGACAAAGTTATAGAATGACTTCTCGTGAATGTTTTCGTCTTTCTGTGTTCTACAATTCTTACCTCGTTACAAAATTTTGCGCTTTATACGTCCCAGGCGTATTATTACACGCGCTATTTTAATTATATAGACGTGCTCATTTTAGAAATTGGAAAGCTAATTGCAATGGATATAAATCTATCAATATACATATATGATTTCATTAACTATTTTCTACTACCTTTCTACTACATTCTCTGAATATTTATGGTCATTCATTAATACACTATTCCTTATTCCTAACATGCCACCAATTTCCGATTTCCGGTTCAAACCAAATATTCTGAACTAAATTTAAATCTGAGTTTTTACAATTTGTCTTTTATTTTAGTTGGTTTCCTATCATCAAAAATATTCAACGAGTATGATAAGAATTGTATAATCTGATGTTTAAAATATGTACGTATATGTTAATTCTAAAAAATGGTAAACTTCTAAAAAACTCATTTGTAATTTCAAATGTTAATCGACATAATTCGTCTACCTGAAAAACGGTTTTGGCTGTGAACCAAAATGTATTTACGGAGCCACGTATAGAAAAGGGCAAATAGCATACGCTCTACACGAAGAAATATTTATGTAGGTTATGATAATTATACTAATCTTTACGAAACCGAAATTAATAATTTCTGCTACCACCGATAGGCACAAATTAAATATGTAACAGTTTCTATATGTGAATAAATTATTATTTGATAATATGAAATCTTATCGTTACATTCTAATATGATAAAGTAATTATCGAGGTGCCATTAATTTCGTATTCATTAACTCAGTTTTGACGAATGTACAAGAAGTAATTTTATATGGTTCCTAGTAGTATTCAATGTAATTTCAGAAATAAGAATTTTGCACGATACAGTAAAGCTAGTCACGTGGAAAATACACGTATATACATATAAACGTATTCCCATTATCCTAAACGTTTTAAATAATCCATTCCGTAATACGTAAACGTTCTGTTATCGTGTTGCACGTATAAGTTTTAACTTTGCTTTCTTATCAGTCTCACTGATCTTCGTAAAACGGTGTCCCACACTTTCATTAAAACTTGGTTAAACTTTTGGCCGGTTGTGTATCCGCTACTTAAATAATTCCATTCAAGTTGCCCAAGAATTTTGCAACACGTAGCGTACGGAACAGAATTTAACGATATGTAATGAAATATAATAACCGTAATATCACGATCTAGCAGTACGCGCACATTTGCCCTCCTGGCACGTGTTCGTTACAAGTGTCTTCGTACATTTCGGTTAAATAAAAATACTGTTCAACATTCCGTAGTTTGTACGTAAATGCGTGAAATGTAAACAAAAATCTTCGTACGAATATGAAAAAAGTTTAATATTCAGTGGTTGCGAACGTCGTACGCGTTTCGCACGGATTTGCTATTTTAAGCTCGCCTAAATAATATACAATTCAGCATTCCTAGGCGTCTAAACGAGTTTATCAGCTGTGCCAATGACATCATAGTTCACGGAATCATTTATAACGACCATTAAACGAAACTAATTGATACGTTTCATTACGCAGTAAGATTTTCAACTCGGCGTCCTGAGCGACGCGGGATTTACTTAATCGTAATAAATAGTGCGCAAGTAGCGTGCACAAAACGAAGGCAACCTTCTTTCCTTAATCCGTTTCACTGCGTTCATTCATTGTTTGCACACGTTTTATCGTTAAATACGCCGGGCAAAAAGTTCCAACACGGTTCCATCCCTCCCCCGTTGAATTATGTAACGTTAAACGTAACACCGTGGAAAAATATTTGTCGTTCCCGAAGCGTTCGTACAATGTTTACGATCTACCGACACGAAAGGAACGAGACCCATGAGCTGTCGCGACGATTTTCCAAAAAGTCTCCAGCGACAAACGCTGTAATTTCGTTCGTAGGATGATCGATCGCTCACCTTCTGATCGATGAGTCGCCGCGATAACAACGAACGCGGTCCACAGGATCAGCTGGGATGTTATTATTGTCATAATTGGCGTCCACGACGATTCGGTACGTTCTTCTGACACTTGACACGCACAGGCGGAAAATGTACGCGAGCCGGAGTCTAGATGCAGACTGACTCGTTGTGCGAAGTCCTGCAGGAGCAACACGACACGCATGCGTCCTGGCTTCCACGTGCCTGTCTCTTTCGCGTCTTTACTACTTACAGCGGTACTTGTGATTTTATGGACGCCCCGACGTGTAAGGAAGATTTCGAATTTTTGTCGAATGGATTCTAAAAAATACATCCGCCACTAACGCCAAGCACGCCCGGAAAAGGACAATGTCGAGAAACATTGCACGCCGGAAAAGAAACATTTCTACGTACCGTGTACAGTAAGAGCCAAAACCATAGCCCAACCACCACTTATTCTTTGTTTCTCGAGAAGCATATTTTCACAAACTTATTTCCAAATTAGGAAAATCAATACTTGTGACTTTCAAGTGAATTTTAACTTATTTCGTGTTTCTCGTGACGAATATGCTAGCAAGCTCGTATTTTGTAATAGCTGAACATTACCTGTACACGTTAGAGCTCGAATTCACTCTGATTTGAATAATTACAATGCCACGGTATATATTGAAATGATGGCAACCAGCGTCTCTGAGACTGCAATAATAATAGATAGAGATTTCGTTAAATGTTCAGCGCGGAACATTTCATCTATAAGTATTACATTTGAAGAGATTAAATTGTAGGAATTATATTGCTGGAAGCATTACGCCTGTGCTTGAAATTAATTTCAACCATGTACTTGCATTGTGAATAGAAGGAAAGGGAGCGTGTTTCAACACGCAGAACCAGACGTCACGAAACGCACTAAAATCGTGAAACGGAATGGAAATAATGCGTTAGGCTGTTGAGACAGTTAGGATTGTTATAATGCAACGTTACGTAGGATCACGTTGTTCCACGTTTAAGCCCTCGAAGCGATGGTGGCACTTATTTCACACTTATAAACCCTATCGGTCGTTACTCCAAAACTATACTGAATAATTATAATTAATTTATAAATACGATTTTATGAATATTTATGCACGTAATATCTTGTTAGAAAGATTCATTATTATATTTTAATAATAAAATTCATTCTCAGAAAAATAAATCTTTTAAATAACTTTTCGTTAGCGGAAATATTTCCTTGTAAAACAATACTCTGCGTATTCATGAAAACTTGCTCTCAGACTTTCGCCATTTACTTGCCTTTCACTTAAGTAAGTCTCTTGAAATTTCCCAGAATTTTATAACGAACAATGTAACGAATAGATGTACAACGGTTTATAACAACTGTACGAAGTAGACCGAAGAAATTAAAAAGTATCTAACCAAAGTTTAAAATGTTCTAGTTCCTCTCGTATCTTGAATTCATTTTCGCAAAATAAACATAAAGTCCATTCGCGAAAATGAAACACCTTGTTATACTTTAAAACTTTGAACATCTAATAACATAAACTGATTCATTATCCTGCCCTCGTTTTACCATTTTTACATTACTTCAATCGTCAAAACTCAAACGAACATTTCATAAAAATTAATCGCGATGAACGACAATGGAACTTGATCATCTAAAAACCGTCGCACAAGCTTCGTAAATAATGAGCGTGTAATTTTGAAGAGTATCGTATCGGAGAAGCGTCTTGACCCGAAGTATGCCTGTATGTAAAAAGAGGCGTTGAATTTTCTCAAGTTCTAAACTTCCTAGAGAACCTATAAGACCCTCTTCGACAACACGTCGCATGTAGAACGCGACTCGAGAGAGCACCAAGGGACGACAGAAAGCGAAGGGAAGGTAGACGAGGAGGAAGTCAGGAAAAGAAGGAGCAGAAGCGACATAACAAGTGTGCAAACACATTCTGCTAAACGAACATCGTTAGCAAGAGATTCACCTTTCGACATTCGCGTTTGATATGAATTTTTTCCTTTTTGCTGGCGCGCATTAGCGCGCATTTTTTCGTTCGAGGGAATCCCCGAGCCGTCTGAAAATCGCGCACGGCTAGAGCCTGTGACGCGAGTCTTAGACGGAGGCGAAGTCAAACGAGAAAACTTTGCGGATTAAGCGCAATCAAGTACCGATAATTCCCTGGCGAATCGTGCCACTCCTCTCAAACCCACCTGCGGACGAGTCGACGGAGATCGGAGGGACCTCCGTAGGTCCCATCTCGAATGGAGGTTGGATTGTTCGGGCGCGTTCGCAGCGACAGCGTCCCTTATCGTAGCCAACGAAAGCACCCGCGAGTATTATCTATCGAATTAATCAAGAAGATTCTCTCCTCGTCGCTTTAATTTTAACATTTATTCTAATATCAATTCGCTGACTTCGTTCCCTTAATAACGGGACGCGGCCCTTCGTTAAGATTCGAACTGAGACGCGCAAAGAGAGATGAATAAAATTTCCGTCGCGCCCGAACAATTTCAGAATTAATTATAAGGGAAAAGAGAGCCGATCGCCGAGCGTCAAAATTATTTGTGCGAGAATCGCAACGTACGTTGGAAATTTTTTCTTTCGCGCCTGTGTATAGTCAAATGTTGTTACATTCTTTGTTTGGTCGTTTCAACTTCGAAACTAACTGTAAAGGAAAATATGAACATTTAATTACCATAATGCAATGATAATATGCGAGGATATGAGTCTATAGAACTGCAAATGTACAACTTGTACGCCCGTTTTGCAGTGCATTATTTACGTTCCACACAGCTACCACCAATCTTAATTATTCAGTACACGTATGATACGTACGTTCGAACATTCTGCAAAATAATCCCTGTCATTGCAGATAAATATTCCTTTTCGTCTAAAAATACAAAGTCCTACAAATGAGAACATTCATTTTATACCGAATGTATCTCGCTTTTATCAAAGCTTAACAATTCGAAGCTGATTCAAACAAATTTTTAAAAATAATTTTAAAGATGAGTAGACGGATACTTAGGAACAAAATTTTGTGAACGTTTCTGAAATTTCTTTCGGTAGAAATGCGATGGACACAATCACCTGTGGGATTACTTTAACGTTCTACTTTTTAAGGTTCATTTGATCAGGGGAGATGTTCTGGACCAGCGAAACCAGTAAAATAGGTAATAATGAGACTAATAATTCGCGTCTGAAAGCCTCTCACGTTCTACGTAATTCACGGGGCTCGAGTACAAATGGCTCACCGTAGACTCTGTGCCGTTAATGTTAATATACAACGTAGAGCCACACGTGGAGGATCAGATTTCTAATTCTAATAAATCCCATATGGGGCGTGCCTGCTTGGATTGCGTCCCTTGAACGCCAGGCAATGGTCTTTATAATTCTTTAATGAACAACCGGTACGTGAATGCAGAGGAAAGTGAGGCGCTGATTCAGGACACAATGATAACTCGTGAAACAATGGATTCCATTGTATTCTACTTTCAAAATATAACAATTTATGTTACGCGTACATAGGATGTGTATGAAAGGTAGTTCAGAAAGTTACAAACTTTTAATACTCGTCAGAATACACCAAAAAAAATATGTACATAACGCTACTAGTTAATATTCATGGTTTTTGTAATTCATGCAATCTTTATCCCCAAAAAATATATTTAATAATGTTTCTTGTTTCAACTGGATTTTAAAATACAATATCAACTCCTTGCGGTACAATGACGAGTCTGACTCGTTACAAATTCTTGATGTCAAGCTTCACAATCATGAAGCTACTCACTGGTCATCAAGTCTTATACAGAGTGCTCAGCCACCCCTGGGAAAAATTTTAAAGAAGACTCTAGAGGCCAAAATAAGACGAAAATCAAGGATACTAATTTGTTGATTCAGGCTTCGTTAAAAAGTTATAGAAACATTTCCGGCCACACAGTATATTTTCGGTAATGAATTTTTTTCTCGAAAGTACGTAGGAATTCAGGAGTATGTGTATTTACCAAAAATGATTGTAATTGATCCCCGCAACGAAACATAATTTTTCCAGAACAATTTGAAATTTTTTAATTTTGTCGACAAATTTGTCCACATACTCGAATTTTTTTCTCGAAAGTGCGTAGGAATTCGGAGGTATGCGTATTCACCAAAAGTGATTGAAATTAACCTCTGCAACCAAAAATAATTTTTTTAGAACGATTCAAATTTTTTTTGTTCACCAAAGAATTTAGACACTACCCCGGTCGATTTTTCTTCAAAATTAGTTTTTCAATTTTAGTAATTTTACTTGACGGCCAACAGAAAAGTTGTCTAATACATTTTTGTAGGTGCCCATGAGCACTGCTTCAGAAAAAAGTTTCACTGAAATATATTCACTATTGTAAGAGTTACGGTAGTTTGAAAATTGGACCATTTTTATGGTGTTTTTCTCATGTTGCGGGGTCAAGGATCAACTTTTCGAATATTTTTGTAATTTCTACATATTCTTCACTAAAATACGCATTGTTTGCATTTTTAAACATTAAAGTCGTCCAATCTGTTCTGAAGTTATGACATGTCAAACATACGCATGAAATTTAAGGGGAACATGTTAATGGTTGGTCAGACATTACATTTTCGGTAAAGAATTTTTTTCTCGAAAGTGCGTAGGATTTCGAGAGTATGTGTATTGACCAAAAATGATTGTAGTTGACCCCTGCAACCAAAAATAATTTTTGTAGAACGATTTGAAAGGTTTTAATTTAATTTTTTAATAACTTTTTAACAAAGCGTCAATCAACAAATTAATATTCTTGATTTTCCATTAAAATTATTCCCAGGGGTGGCCGAACACTATACAGGGTGTCCCGTAAATAGTGTAAGAAACGGAAATGGGGGGTAGGTGAGACAATTCTAAGCAACAATTTCCTTTGCAAAAATGTCGGATGGGGCTTCGTTTTTGAATTATTAACGAAAAACACTGACCAATCACGGCGCTCGCCTTCCGCGCGCTCAGGGCCGTCCGACCTCGGAGAGCCACCGCGCCGGGTAGGTAGCAAGATGCGCGTTGAAAATACATCGAGGAACGAGTACAAATAATTAAAAATACTACCACTGCAACTGTTACCTAATTCGTGAATTACTACGTAATTAGTACGTAAATTACTAAATGGA